GGCAGGGGCCAGGCCAGCAAGGCCACGTTAGCCCCATTAGTGATTTTTGCCTTCTCCTAGGGGCAAAGAGAAGCCATTGAAAAGGGTTCTAGGTGAGAGGGTGAACTACGATCAGATCAGTGTTTAAAAGCTGCTTTACAATTTCTAAAATATCTCATTTTCTCTTTTTCTCCAAGGATTGCAAGGATGGGGAGGGGCAACAGAAGACCTGGGGAGATGAGTTAGGAAGGCTCTGCAGTCGTTGTGGAGGGAAGAAATGAGAATACGTAGATAGAGGGTGGTGGGGGTGGCAGAGAGGAGGAAGGGACAGGACAGAGATCTTTAGAGGAGGAGGAAGACTCTCCAAGAAAGAAGAGCAGTTTCGTCCTTGTCTCTCTGTTCTAGTCACTTCAAACACTATTTTCACTTTTAGACTTGGTTTTCTTCATGTTTGTCTTTTCAACTTATATCCTAGTACAAGAAAATCAAAGGAAATAGATTTATTTAAGAAAAGTCACATAGCAATATGGACACGCTTACGTATAACCCATGCCAAAGACTTTGAAACGGGATACAATATGTATTATGTGTAGTGCCATAGTTAAGAGCATGGACTTTGCAGGCAGAGTATTAGCTGTGTGACCCAGGATGAGCTATTTCACTTTTCTAAGCTTCAGACTTACCGTTTATAAAATGGGGATAAAAATAGTACCTAACTTGATGGGTTGCTCTGAGAATTAAATGAGATAATCCATATAAGGCCATTTGCAGAGAGCCTGGCATAATAAAAATGCTCAATGAATGTTAACTAGTATTATTATTCATAGCTGTGAGCTGACCGTCTCCTATACAGTTGATGGATGCTCTTACGGGCCTTCAGAGCCAGCACGGAGCACCGCACAAGCAGTTATTGTCTGACAGACTTCTGCACAGATTGCAAGGACTCTGAAAAGGTGGTTCAACATATTGAATTTAATTCTGCCTTTTTCTCCCAAAGCCAGGTTCTGCTTCTGGGACTGTGCAGAACTTGCTGGAGAAGCACTGTATGGTGGGCAGGACGGGGAGGAGAGGGGGAAGACGATTGCTGAGGGGCAAGACTATGAAGTAGAACACAGGATTTCTGTGCCGGTTGGGTAATTTGGTAGTAGTTTTACTGTGGCTCATTTTGTTATAGGGCTCTGCTTTGCTTTCTTATTCTGCATTCATTCATTGAACATTTACACTGTGCCGAGCACTGTTATAGGTACTGGGGATCCAGCCATGAACAAAGTCCTAGCTTCTGTGCAGCTTAAATTTTGGTGGGGTTATCTTTCTTGTTAGCAAATTTTATTCTCCTGGAAGTCTTAGCTGGCCTAAACTTCTTCTTCCATGATAGGAATAAAAGGAACCAATGGAACACATTGCTGGTTCTGGAACCATATTGAAAAGAAAGGCCTGTTGTGTGGAATTTGGAGCTTACTCCTTTGGAGGAATTCAGTTGTATTTTGTAAGGGAGGGGAATAATAGAGAAGTTAATAAGCCCAATGAACACTCCTATTAGTCCTCAAAATATCTGTATGAGTAATGTTGTCACAGATGAAGAAACTGAGGCTAAGAGGTTAAATGATTTTTCTCAAGTGGAAGTAGGACTCAAGATTTGGACTTCACATCCACGCTTTATTTCTTTCTTTTATAAGTCGGGAGTTATTAACATAATGGCAAACAGATAAATTTAACGGCATTAGCCCATGGGCAGTTGACTGAGTGCTGGTGCTTGGAATTTCTGTTAACAGATTTTACAGTGAGTACACTTTCAGAGAGACTAATCTTCATGGCATGTGACATAGCTTAGTGGTTCCCAAATGCTAGTCCATGGACCAATGACAGTGTATGACAAACTTGCCACCAATCTCAGTAAAATGGAAAATAAAGTAAATTTAAGTTAAAAGCTGTTTCTCTCACAATTTGTCTTCCCAACTTTCCACTATGGAATGATGGTGTTAGTAGGAGGTAGTTAGGTTTTTGTTTGTTTGTTTTAAAATGTTATTTTACAAAATAAAAAGTTGGCAAGCCTATGTCTGTCAATTCTTTTTTGTTAAAATTTACCATTTGGTAAATTCAAAAGGCTGTGGAAACCTGATATAGCTAACTACATGAAAAATAGTTCTCTTTCTGGCAATATGAAATACTAGGTATTAAAAAAACCCTTCTGGTGCAAAGCACCTAAAAAAGAAAGGAAAATTGGAAAAATTATACATTTTAAAAAATGCATAGTTGTATTGGCAAGAAAGGAAAATTCCTAGAGGCCAAAAATGATAAGAAAGCACAAATCAAAGAAAACTACATTTGAGAGAGGGGAGAAAAATCTCAAGGTGTGAGTAAGGTAGGAAATAGGATCAAAGACTCTTGCCTAAAGCTAGTGCTCCCAAAAGGTGACATCCTTGGTGAAAAGAGGAAATAGGAAAAAAAGTGCCCCTCAAAGGAAGCCTAGTACATACAACTGTCTATCTTACCCTTGGGATGCTAGGAAGGATAAATTTCTCCTGAGAAGTTCATAGCCATGAGTCACTCTCATTGGATTTAAGGCTGGAATTCCCATTACTAATATGAGCTGAAAAATCCCAAGCTGAGAATTCAAAATAGTTTGAGTTGGGAAGTGCCTCCAGGTGCCCCATAGGAGCAAATATAAATTTTCTCTGAGGGCAGGCACCTTACTTTCCAGCCTCAAAGAATATCCTACAGATATAATTCCAATTAGCTCAAAATTAAAAATCACAAAATAAACGAGGAAATAAGATATGGGAAGAAATCCAGAAAAACATCAAGCAGCAGAACGAGAACTTTAAAAATTTAAGATATTAGAAGTGTTGGATACAAAATATAAAATAAAAGAAGTATTGAAAGTATAAGAAATTACTAAGAATATTAAAAAGAAAAACCAATTAGAACGTGTATAAGTGAAAAATATAACCACTGGCATTTAGAAGTTTCAGTTAGATAGGTGAAAAGAGAGTTAATGAACTTGAAGATATGAAGTGATTACTCTGAAAGCATGGAGGAATAAAGACATGGCTGGAAGGTTAAGTTAAGAGAAAGGGAAGATAAAGTGAGAAGGTACAATATACATCTAACTGGAATCACAGAAAGTAATAACAGACATAATGCGGGAGATGCATATCCGAAGTTTCAATGAATGGAAAATTTCCAAAATTGATGACATACAGGAATCCTCACATTCAGAAATCCTTATGAGTACCAAGCATGATAAATTAGAAAACCATACCTAGACATAACACCGAAATTACAGAACAAAGATAAACAGATCTTGAAAGAAGCTAGAGAGAAAAGAAAAATAACCTTTAAAAGACTGATAGGAGCCGGCCCCATGGCTGAGTGGTTAAGTTGGCATGCTCTGCTTTGGCAGCCCAGGGTTTCACCAGTTTGGATCCTGGGTGCGGACCTAGCACCGCTCATCAAGCCATGCTAAGTTGGCGTCCCTCGTGGCAGAAGTAGAAGGACCTTCAACTAGAATATACAACTATGTACTGGGGGGCGTTGGGGAGAAAGCAAAAAAAGAATGATAATTAGCTGATAGCTGACTTCTCAACAGCATCAATGGAAATGAGAGATACATATTCAAAATCTTTCACTGAACAATAGTTAACAAGCCAAATGTGGGATCTAAAGAATGACATCTCCAAATGGCCTACATTTTATTAGCCTTAAGAAAATGCCTTTTCACCCATAACTGGAATGAATTACCTCACAAACTTGGAATTGAAATATGGACATTTTTTCCAATTAGCCACCTGTTCACATGTCCCACGTGCCTCATTTCAGGAAGTTCAGCATCTTCCAAGAGTTCTTATGCCCCTTAAATTAAATTGTCTAACAACATTGGGCACTAACTGCAAAGTGGGTCAGTCCTCTTCTAACGCCAAATGTAGAGGGAAATGGAATTTGGTCAGTTTATACCACCCAGTACAGTTACTTTTTCTCTGCCGTATGTATTGCAGTTGAATTTTGCCTTGAAAAATTCCATGGATACTTGGCTATTACAAGGACATTTTGATGAGTTCAGATCACTGCATAATCACAGTGAGACCCCACTTGGGGACTCTTAAATTACAACTTTCTTGAGTGACAATCATAACCTCCCAGGGAGCAGTAGGTCAGAGTCCACTTCAGGAACTGACCCCAAATGGGCAGAATTTACTTATATCATGACCCAGCTGCCAACTTCTCTTGCTAAAGGAGAACAAAACTCACAAAATCAACTTCTTGTGCAGCAAATCTATTGGGGGAAACTACTATAACTGAAATATCCAAGCAGGGTTTTACCTGTGGGTTACAGGTTTGCTCGTGTGAAAATCCCACTCCTTGTTTATTTCTAACTAGAGAAAATATTTCTGATGGTATATGATCCCAATGAAATGATGTTAACAAATATTCACACATATCGTAAACACAGGCAAATCCTAAGATATAATCAGTGGGGAGCAAACTTGTTTTCCTTACTGGAGAAAAGATCTGATTGCTTGGTATGAATATCATGTTGGAAAAATGCAGCTACACTTCTCATTCTTCAGAACCCTAACATACACTGTGAAGTCTGAAAGTAAACCCAGTATAAGCAAACCACATTCATTCAGCAGCAAACATTTAGAAGTCAGCTGTAGCCAGCAAATGTGTGTGTGTTTATGTGTGTGTACACACAACACATCGACATTAACAGCAAAATACTTTTCTCGTGATCAACTCTGAGAAGATAAAAACCTGACACCTAAAATCTAATCACTTGCAAAAGGGCATTTGTCAGTTACAGGATTTTAAAGGAAATGAAAGTTCACTGAAGAGTGCCTATGCTGAACTCATCTTTCGCAGGTATTATTCTATGTTCATGCTGACTCATTTTTAAACTACCTTATCATTTATTAAGTGTGGCCTACTAGCTCTGAAGCCTTGATTTCAGTTTTTCTTTTTTAAGGTATAGTAACACCAGGGCTTTAAAAATCCTATAAAATTCATGCTTTATAAGAAATGATAGGAGTCATTTGTATTCCATGATGCTATTTTAATTAAAATATTTGAAACATTTATTGCGAAAATAATATATGCTCTTTATTTAAAAAACATGCAAACAACACTGAAGTATATAAAGTAAAAACTGAAAGTTCCCTAAAACCCTTGACCATCCCATTCCCCTTAGAGAACCACTGTTAACAGTGTTAGGGTCATTCGTCCAGAGCTGGATTTATTTCCTGCAACTTGCTCTTTTGCCTAACACTATATCTGAAGCTATCTGAACATTAGCACATAACACAAACATTATTGTTTCACAGTATTTCATAGAACAGATGTACCGAAACTTGTTTCCTTATGGATGGACATTTAGGTTGTTTTCAATGTTTCACATATAAAAACAAAATTACAGTGAGTATTTTTTGTACACATGTCTCTGCACATTTGTGAGACTATTTCTCTAGGCTGGATTTCTAGAAATTGAATTAATAGGTCAAAGGATCTACATGGTTTATATTGTAATACATTGTATTGATTTTTGAAAATTTTAATTTTCTTCCCAAGTTTTCCATCAGTCTAACTTGGCTGTATTTTATTTAGTTTGTTTTAGCTTTAGTTCAATCTCTAGAAAACTGCTGACATGGTTTGGAGAAGCCCCTTTACAGAGGACTAAAGAAGCTGAGAACTGCAGAGGAAAGAATTAGGGCTCACCTGGGAAAGCCACGCAGCCACGCCATCATCCCCACACCCCAGAGAAAATGAATCAAAACAAACAAGGATCTCGAAGTCAAGAAGAAAATGACACTGCTGGATGTTCAGAACCACATGAAGAAAGAAACTGAAAAACATTAAAGCCTTAAATGGTCTTACATGACGCAGCAAAATGTGGCACATTCATATGTGGATCTTTATCTCCTTAAATATAAAATAATTTTATGTGGCAGTATTTTTAATATTCTAATTTCTTACAAGTTTCAAGTGTTTCATGACTTAAGCCTGCATATCTCTCACAAAGATTTATGCTCCTCAAGACTACAGACAATTTGGAACAAAGAGTGCTGTCAACAAAATCTTTACAGAGCTGCCCTCAACTGCACAGCTTTCCCATCACTAGACAGAAGTGAATATTTATATAAAGGACAAATTAAGGGGCAAGCCCCATTTACCTTTCAAATATCCTCAAAATAAAGAGCTGAATTCAAATTTTCAGAGGCTTGGCTTTCAGAGAAGTCTGGAAGAAGCTGTGCAAACAATTCTTTTTCTTTTCTCTTTGACAGCATCATCCTCCTCATTCTTTTAAAAATACTTCTGAGACAGCTTGGTGCTATAACTTATGGAGAGAGCTGTAGCAGAAGTTTCTGCCAAGTGCACAATAACTCAGAGGTCTCTCTCCTGGATGAATTCTCAGATGCCAGGTAAGATATTTCCCATGGCCAAAAGTGGTTTATATTCAAAAGGTCTTTCCCCAGCATAAGTTCTATGATGTTGGCTGAAGCAGGCCCGCCTGCAAAAGGTCTTTCCACACAGCTTACACTCTTAGTGAGTTTCTCTCCAGCATGAATTCTTTGATGGTAAAGTGAGGGATGAGCAGCAGCTTAAAGCTGTCCTATAGTGACAGGATTCAGAGTGCCTCTCTCCAGTGTGACTCAAGTGTCAAGGGAAAGAAAAGTTGTCACAAAAGGCTTTCCCACATTATTTGCACTGAAAGGTTTTTCCTCTAGTGTGGATCTTCTTATGCTTAACAAAAGCGGATCGGTAGGCAAAGGCCTTTCCACATTCCCTGCACTCATAGGGCTTCTCTCCAGTGTGCCTCCTTGTGTGTCGAGTGAGGGAATAGCTGTAGTAGAAACCTTTCCCACATTCTTTACACTCATAGGGCTTTCCTGCACTGTGGGTCATCCCATGTCGGAAAAAAACAGAGTGGTAGGTGAAGGTCTTTCCACATTCGCTGCACTTGTAGGGCTTCTCTCCCGTGTGAATCCTCATGTGTCGAGTTAAGGAAGACTTGTAGTGAAAGGCTTTTCCACATTCTTTGCACTCAATGGGTTTTTCTCCGGTGTGGGTCAGACTATGCTGGACAAAAACAGAGTGGGAGTTGAAGGTCCTTCCACACTCTCTGCACTCATGGGGCTTCTTGCCAGTGTGGATCCGCTGGTGGTACGTGAGGTGTGACCTGCGGCTGAAGAGCTTCCCACACACCACACACTTATAGGGCTTCTCCCCAGTGTGAATCCTCATGTGCCGGCCCAAGTCTACCTTTTCCTGAAAGGCTTTCCCACACTCCTGGCATTCATAAGGCTTCACCCCAGTGTGAATCCGCTGATGTCGAACAAGTACGTAATTCTTGTGAAACACTTTCCCGCATTCTTCGCATTTGTAGAGGGTCTTCCCTGCATGAACCAACGCGTCTTTACTCAGTCCCTGTGAATCACATTCATGGAGCGCATTTCCTCCAGAGTCTTGCTTCTGTAAAACCCTTGAGCGCAGACTATCATCTGTTCCCAACCCATCACATTCAAGGCTCATATTTGGAAGGAAGGTCTCCTCGTGGGAGACGGTAAGTGGCCTCAAGTGCCCTTCCTGCATTTCCAACAATACTTCCTGATCTCTGGCTTGCTCCAAGCCGGAGGACCTCCTGGCTCCCTGAGTCAGTCTTATCCAGAGCAAGGCTCCTAAGACAAAGCGGGCTGGTCTCGGGTTTTACTTGTCACCTGGACAGATGATTCGGCAAAGGCCTCTCTTCCCTCTTACCCGTGCATCAGCTGTTACATCAACTCTGGGTTGGGAACCGCAAGCTCCAGTGAGACCTGGAGTCTGCAAGTCTCCAGCGTCACTTTCCGGAACAGGGTCCTCTGGGCCTGGTCCAGCTGCCCCAACTCCTTCCAAGCGAGGGTCACGGCGACGTCCAATACCGCAACCTGAGACGCGGCTGCAACCAAGCGGACAAAAGGTCCACGTGGCACCAGCTTCCGCCTGCGCAGAGGGCACCTCCGCCTACAGATACCAGAAAACACCGCACTCAGGCGCTGCCGCCAGTGGACTACAAGTCCCAGAGGCCGCAGTTTCACTTTTTTGTATCCGGCAATTGAATTTTCAGTTACTATGGAAGTTCACCTGTGTGGCTGGTTGGACGTTCACTCTGGTTGTGTCAGAGAGAACCTCCAAACATGCAGACGAACATGCACGTGAACATGCAGAGTGTGGGGAGCAAAAGAGCCATACTAACCGCTTTATTTTACCCGCTGACGCTCATCAAACTGTCCCCGGGGCTGGATGCTAAAGTCAATCCAGTCCAATTACCGAGTGTTGGAAAAGGCATGGAAATTCAGGATCTCTTTTGCATTGCGGATGGTTCTGTCGTTAGTAAAAACATATTGAAAAACTTTGGCCTCACCTCCAAAGAGAAGCTTTTCCATATGCATCCTGGGAGACATGTATAAGAAAGTTCACGATAGCAAATACCTGGAGAGAGTCCAGGAAAGAGGATGGATGGGGTTCTCCACAGAATGGAGCATTATTCAGCAGCCCGAGAGCGCTCTAGTCCACTGCTAGCGGGGGAATCGGAAACATCACAATATGTGTCGCAGAATCTTCAAAAATTAAGGGCCCAGCGGTGCCAAGTTCCTCTGGAACTGGGTAGGAGGGGAGACCATCATGTGGAGGATGGTGACAGTGGTTTGAGTAAGACCCTGATCCACTGCCCTCCGCTACCCAAGCTGGAGCTGGTTGTTAAAGTGAAGAGAGGATCTTGGAACAAGAGAAGGAGAGGCAAATTTGAAGGTTCTGGCAAACAGTGGAAAGAAGAGGCTTGATGGTCATTGCCACTCTGAGTGCTGGGACCTCTATCATCTTTGCTCTTCGTGGCAGCCGTTTGGAATGTTGTCTGAGAATCTGTCCAGCTCAAGAGGGGAGACCTAAAGATACTGACATTGCAGGTCTCCCAGTGAAATGGCCTGGCAGGTTGACTTTCAGCAAATATTTAAACTTAGTTTTATTTTTATGTCTTCTGTGCTGGCCAGAACCTCCATCTACAGTGTTGAAGAGGGGAGATGATAGCAGGTGCTATTTTCATTTTCCTGACGTAAAAAATTCTTCTATTATTTCATACTTGAGAATGTGTTCAGCATGGATTTTTGTGTATCACCTGCTTGATCACTTTCATAATATATATAAATATTAGGGTCAGAGAAATGAAAGGCCAGGCAAACACATCACCTGGGAAAATGTGACAGAGTTTTCTCACCCAAAGGATTTGGTGGAAGTCAGTACAGTCAGGATACAAAGCAGAGAGCTCAGTTGTGTTTTCCAGAGAGCAGGACTCTCCCCAGGATAGGAGGCAGTACTGGATGGCCATGACTTAGGCAGCTATACATGAGCTGGTTTGAATAGGCGCAGGGCTGTCTTGCCTGGGACATGTGCCCCCATAAGTCTCAGGATGCTACATATTTGAGACAAAGTTCTGTCCAGCAGTGGTTCTCTGAGTTTGGTCCTTAGGTTCAGTTGTGTCCACTTCTAAGAGTTCAAGAAAGGCTGACCACTAAATACTGGCATTATAACCATGATAATATGGGCAATTACAAAATGAGTTGGCTTGGCTTCTTGGAAAAGTCTAATTTTTTTCTTTAGCAAATTTACCTTTCAATATATGATTTTAGTGTTATATAACAGTTTTCAAAATGATTAATGCTTTCAATCATTTGAGCCATGAGTAGCAATGCTTGTAAGTGACCTGAAGATCTCAGCAGGAAGTTGTTATAAATTAGGTCACATCAACAGCTATACTATATTGAGTCTGCTATCTGGGAGTTCTCAGGGGGACTTCTCACAAGGGCTCCTGTGTCAGCCTGGGCCACTGCAGGTGACTTCACACTTGTGAGTATAGACTGTCACCTGCAATTTTCAGTCCTTGGACACACCCATGGGCAGTGTCCACCATCATTCCTCTGCCTCCCTTTAGCACTATAGACCAAGCATGAACACAGACTTTTTCTCTGATATCAGACCAGGATGTGAGTTTATTGAGACTTCACTGAAGGCTGGGGATCACAGACAGACTTCCACACAGAGAATAACTTATAACTGGCTGCTAGTTATGGCTGTTCTTAGGGCCCTCAGTTCCTAGTGTGTCCTCCTGGGACCTCTGTAGGACTGCCTTTCTGTTCAGAGCCCATTCTTCCCCCTTAAGGAAGAGGCCAGGTTACCTCTAACCACCAGAAACACCTTGAACATGATTCGATTCCCCAGAGACTGGCCCAAGTCAAGGCTAAGAGAGAGGTTCAGAAGAAGTTTCCTTCTTAACTCTGTCTCAGGCCCGTCTTCCCCATTTTCTGTTCCCATCTTTTACCTGTAAGGATGACTGATGGGTGTAGTACCTACTTCCTTTAGTGGAGACTCCACCACCATTCACAGAGTATTAGCCTTACCTTATGTCTACAATAGTACATCCCTTTAGAGCAACATTTCTACAAGATAGCATACTGACTGTTATGGGTTGAGCTGCATCTCCCCCAAAAGATGTTGAAGTCCTAACCCTCAGTAGCCATGAATGTGACTTTATTTGGAAATAGGGTTTTTGCAGATGATCAAGTTAAGTTGCACTCATTAGGGTGAGGCCTAGTCTAATATGACTATGTCCTTATAAAAACATTTCAGAAAAAAAGAGAAAGCTTCTTCCATTAAAAAGACTGATCATGATGGGAAAGAATAGTGTTTTCAACAAATGGTGCTGGGACAACTGGATCCACAAGCAAAAGAAAGAACTTGGATCCTTATCTCATGCTATACATAAAAATTAACTCAAAATAGATCATAGACCCAAAGGTAAGAGCTAAAACTATAAAACTCTTAGAAGAAAGAGGAGTAAATTTCTGTGATCTTGGGTTAGGTAATGGTTTCTTAGACATGGCAGCAAAAGCATGAGCAACAACAACAAAAAATAAATTGAGTTTCATCAAAACTAAAAACATTTGTGCTTCAAAGGACATCACTGATAAAATGAGAAGACAACCCACAGAATAGGAGAAAATATTTGCAAGCTATGGTTTTGACAAGTGATTTGTATCCAGAATATACAAATAACTCTTACACCTCAAAAACCAAAGACAAAAAGCCCAACTAAAATGGGCAAAGGATTTGAATGGATATTTCTCCATAAGGGATATACAAATGGCCAATAGCATATGAAAAGATGCTCAACATCATTAACTGTTAAGGAAGTGAAAATCAGTGAGATACCATGTCCTACTTACTAGAATGACTAAAATTAAAAAGACAATAACAAGTATTGATGAGGATGTGAAGAAATTGGAAACTTCATACATTGCTGGTGGGAATATAAAATGGTGCAGACATTTTGGAAAGCAGCCTGGTAGTCCCTCTAAAATTTAAACATAGAGTTACCCTAGGACTCAGGAGTTTTACTCCTACGTAGATATCCAAGAGAAATTTAAAGACATGACTGCACAAAAATCTGTACATAAATGTTCATAGCAGAATGATTCATAATAGCAAAAAGAACCCAAAAGTCCATCAACCCAAGAGTCCATCAACTGATGAGCAAATAAGCAAAATGTAGTATATCCACACAGTAAAATATTACTTAGCCACAAGGATTGAAATACTGATACATGCTATGACATGGATAAACCTTGAAAACATTATGCTATTGGAAACAAGCCAGTCACAAAAGAACACATATTGTATAGTTCTATCTATATGAATTGTTCAGAATAGGTAAATCTATAGAGACAAAGTAGGGTTAGGCATAGGAGGAAGGGATGGGGATTGACCACTAATGGGTTGAGGAATATGTTCTAAAATTAGACTGAAGGATGGTTGGACAACTCTATGAGTATACTAAAAACATTGAATTGTACACTTTAAATGGGTGAATTTTATATATGTGAGCTACATCTCAGTAAAACTTTTTTTAAAGGCTCATATTCAAATGTTCAAAGAACATTTCATTTCAGGCATATATACAATACTATAATGACCACCTGTTTATTTACAATGCAGCTTAATAAATAAAATCCTACAGATGTAATGGAAACCTCTTGTATACGCCTTCTGGATTCAATTAACTTTGTACCACTTTGGAAGTAACTAAGTTATTTACTAGATGTAAACTTGATATTTACCATTTCTTCAATGTTTTATGCTTCTGCTAGATTTGCATTTATATATTTATGAAAACATTTATATTTATTCATAAACAGTATATAATATTGATATTCACATATTACACCTGTGGGGAATCAGAATTGGTTACCCCAAAATCTATCTCTTTGCCTTGCCTTGATTATTTTTAAGAACAAAAGACTCTGAAAGAAACTTTGACCTTCCCCCTAACTGCCTAAAAGAAATTTAAAATAAAGTCCTGTCCCCAGGACAGGCCATCACCATAGATAACTCTGGGTATCGATAGACTGGGAGGATCCTTGCTAAACCCACTCTTATCAAAGTTCTATTTACCAAACATTCTCTTTTCCATTTCTATGTGAATTGCCTTCTTCCCCTTTGAAGCCCCAAACCACCCGCACCCCCAACATCCTCCTTTGTCTTTAGCTGAAGATGGTATTTAAGATGAAAATCTGTGCCAGTTTGGCGAGTTACTCAGTTTTCCTGGGTCTCTCCCATGTATACATGTTAAAAAGCTTTGTTTCATTTTTTCCTGTTATTCTGTCTCATGTCAATTTAATTCTTAGCCTGGCCAGAAGGACCTAGAGTGGGTGGAGGAAATGTTTTCCTCCCCTATACCCCTTTTATTTTTAACTTTTCCAAATTCTAGTCTGTTCAGTTTGAAATAACACCTTGTGCAGAACATCTGCAGTGTAATCCAGGCTGCATTTCCACAAGCCTGTGGGCATCTCCTCCAGAAGCCCTGACAGAGGTGAAGCTCATTCTGCCTGTAGCACTTTGAAGAGTCTATATTTGTCCTTGGAAAGGACGCGTTTGTCCAGACATGGTCTGCTGAGGTAGAACTTGGTCTGCTATGCAGATAAAGTTCCACAGGCTCACACAGGAAATTTAGCTCCTTGGAACCACAGCTGCCCTGTCATCTCCACTTCTCTGTGTTCTCATCGTCTTCTAGGAGATGTTTCCATATGGTTAACTTTCCACTGGTGAGCTCTGTGTTTTCCCTCTTCCAGAAAATGTATGTTTTGCTTTCTAGATCTGTTCTGTTGCCAGTTAGCAGAAACAGAATAACCTCATCATTTTGTCTTAGGATCTGGTCCCTGAGTCCAGCTATAGCAGCAAAGGGTCCCAGTCTCATCACTGAGTAGAGTGGGTCATTGAAGGTCCTGAGCATGGCAGGGTGCCCTTGGACTTCTTTCCCAACCCAGTGCTAGGTCCTTCATGGCCTCATCTGTGCTGATAAGCCTAGAGTCATCTCCAAATTTATCCTATACAAACATTCAGGTCAGAGAGATGCTCCTGATACCAGCTCAACACAAGAGTGACATAAGGGAAGCCATATTGTAGAAAGGAAACTACATCATAACTTTAACTGACCGCTAACTAGCCCACACATGCTCTATAGATTTTGCGGCCCCTCCCAGCTGCTTTAAGATGACAACTTTCTTCTTTTGAGTCCCTTAGGAATGTGATGACCCCCAGGCAGAGAGCCTATGCTGATAGCCAAAATCAATGACAACTGAAAGATCAGGGTATAGGGCAGCTGCTTTATCCTCTGATACATATCCAGTAGAACAAAGGACTATCAGGAACAGTGACCAGAGGTCTGTCCCACCCAGAGAACAGCCACCTCTCCCACCTGGAGACCGGGCCAGTATGTAACTGCCCTGTAGTCTTTGTTCTGTGAGATGGTTCTTTCAGACATGAGTCAGCCATCTTCCCTCCTGCAGCAAGCCGTCATAAAGTCATTTCTCTCCTACCACCTTGCCTCCTGACTATTGGGATGTGTTGCAGTGGGCAGAAGAGCCCACTTGGGTGGTAGGACTCCCTCACAGTGTTGTATCCATCTACCAAGACTCTGTGTAAAGCACACAGGAGGAGAA